TAACCTAACCTAACCTACCCTATTGATAAAGATATTTAAATAATGTTTTATATAACTTTCTCAATATTTTTATGTATTTTTCATTAGTTTTACCTTTGAATATTGTTTAAGAATGACTATATAAATATTTACATGCCTAGAAATATATAAAAATTGGCATTATTTATTAACTTTGAACCCCCATAACTTGGGGGTCAGACCGCCATGAACTTTTTATGGCACAGTGGTGGGGAAGACCTCCTCTTTCGATCCCCCCACCCCATCATCTAGACCTTTATAGTGTATGAAAATTGGAAAATTACAGAACTTTGCAACCCCATAACTTTTTATGGGGGTGTGATCGCTGCGAACTTTTTATGGTGGTTTACTCAGAAAGGCCTCCTCTTTCAATCCCCTCTGCCGATAATCTAGACCTTTACCCTAATAATTTTCTCTTGAATGAGAACATAATGTATAAATGCAATGGCTTGGAAAGAATGTTATTAATGAAACGTACGACTTGTATAATAGAAAAAAGCTTTATGAAATAATCTCAATATATGTATCTGTTAATATCTTATAATTCTTATCGTATAATTATTATCTTTAATACTTATCTTAAAAAATTTAAAATTATGTGTGTGCGCTCGCGCACATGTGTGTTATACGTATGTGAACAGTGTCTGTGCCTAAAATACAGATATAATGTGTATTCCGTCAGTGTTCCAATATATGTATTACGATAACTGTAAAAATATATGATTAGGTTCTTCCCATAACTCGCTGAATTTTTGAACTATTAAGTCCAACAAAAAACCATTTTGTAGGCTTTTTCAAGAGTTTTTAAACGGTTTAAGCTGGAAGAGCTTGAACAAGTTACTGTTCACAAAGGTATACAAACTTTAAACGACTATATCTTACTCAATNTGTGCATATTGAAAGTACATAAATAAAGTGAAATGTAAAGTGGTAACGATTATTTTTAATTGGGGTGATAATTAACGGGTGATTTTCACATTTTTTGCCGCCAAAAATATATACCAAAAAATTTTTGTCGTAACTCGTATGGTAGGGACTTTTATAAAAAAAAAAACGAACATGAAGCACTTCAAAAAAAGTTTTCCAAGTTTACCCCTGAAAAAAGCATTGTTTTTTGGTTATTTCACGTTGAAACTTTCGATTTTGACGAATAAAAACCAACTTTTAACAAGCTGTATTGAGTGTACTGATACTTTTAACTCAGCCTTTTTTATTTTTTATAAGCTATATTTTTAAACAGAATGATTTTTTGATAAAATACTTATTTTGAGAGTCATTCATAAACAACCATCTGAAAACTTTGCACAACAAAAGTTGCTTAGAATTAGTCAATCTATCCATTCCCGTACTTAATTTCAACGAAAGAGGGTAAGTAGAACTTATATCCAAATTATTATTCAAATGGGTGCTGTTCAGCCAAATTATGAGGGAAAAAACCATTGACTGGACTATCAGCGGATTTCGCATTTACTATCTTTTACGATGTTACTTTAAGTAGGAGATTGCGACTTTCAAAATACAAAAATGAAAGAAGGCTGACTCCAAATTTATAATACATAGACAGTGTTGCTGCCTATGAATTACTGTCGAAAACCATCGAAAAGACAAAAAATGAAGGTAAGTTATATCCTTTCAACCCTCCGAACAATTATTGCTAATAGTAGAGGTGATTTTCATTGTGGTCGTATTTTAAGAAAATTGATGTGTATTTCAGCAATTAGTACTTTCTAGACGTATCTAGGTTACAAATTTAATTGAAATCGTTGGAAGCTTTTTTTAATTGTCCGAGAAATTTTTTGGTACTTGTGGCACCCTCTCACGGGTAAACGAATAAATTTGTGGTTGGTGTATGTACACGGAGTTCTAAAACTTCCTATATTTTATTCAATAATCTAATAGAATGCCATAAAAAAATGTCAAATAAAACAATAAATACGTTAACAAAACCTTAAATAAAAAAAAAATTTACCTTAATAATGTGAGCAACAACAGGTAAACATCCTTACTGAAATTTCCTTGTAAACAATGTGAATTGGAAAACACATTATCCACATATCTAGTATTATCTTTCCTGAAACAACAAAAAGCAATACACATTATCAAGGATTTTTGGCAATAATTGATAGATAGAATATTAAAAAAACACCTAGGCCTAGAATAGTATAAAATGTTATACATTATTATATTATTTGCTAAGCTCGTCTAAATTAGAACGTTGGATACAGTTACATTATATTAATTTTGATTACATTTTCAATAATTTTATAATCGATCCCTTTATACGTCAAATATTAAAAAATTTAATCCATGCTTACGCTATAAATTATAACTTATAACATGTTACACATACAGGGTGTACACCCTGTATATGTCATCAGAATGTATAAATATGCAACCAAATATACACCCTGAAGCTGATATTTAACCCGCCCACTTCTCTGCAACGGTTTAGTTTTACCCATACATCAAAATTAGCGTATTTTATTGTAACCACGAGATTATTTTATTCAATTTTAGACTTTTTAGTCTCATACCTTCGTTTTAATTTCTTACATTCTTTAGTTTGTCTTGAAACTAAACTACCTCCAATCAAAAAACTGAGAAAAGCAAAAGTATTATTTGGTAATAACCATCATAAAGGGCTGAAACATGGATACAATCCGAGTAAATGCCGACACTATAGTATAAAGAAAACAGTTGGCAGGAGTTTGATACTTTTTGAACCACAAATGACCACTCGAATGAGTTCTCATCAGTCGATTGATAAAATTTATTTTATTCATAATCTAAACTAGTTGTTTTACAGGTAGTCTTATAGTCAAAGTTCTTTTATCCCAACTGTTAAATATTGTTGTGCGTCATAGTCTTGGTTCTTTTTGAATTAATTAATATTTTATTATGATTTGAATTTGTTCCAAATTGTTTTAGTAATTTACATTTCTTTGTCACATTTATATCTTGAATATCTTATTTAATTGGAAGTATTAATTAGTATATATATTTTACATAATTTTAAAATTATTTCCGTTTGCAAATGTAAAATATAAATTTTGTGTCAACTTCCAGACTCCAAGCAATTGGTCAGGCAATGTTCTGTATTTATTTACAACACAATTTATAATGATGTAGTTTCTAGTTTGAAGTAATAAAATTTTCGCTGTAAGTTGTAGAGCCAACTGTTGCCAGCTAATTATGGAAATCACACCAAACCAAATACCTATTCGAAGTCAAAAATTAGTAAATTAATCGCCTAATCCTCTAAACCATAAATTAAGAAACAAACATCCTTAGATTCAGATTCTTTGCACCCTACAGTTTAGTTGAAGGAGGTTGCATGGTAACGAGGAATGTTTAAGTATGAGAACCATGCATCAGAAAAGGTAAGTGAGAAAGTATTATTATCTGTGACTAGTAATTTTGAGTTTGGTTTTACTAGGTTCATAGACATAGGCAAGTGTTTGGAAGATAAAGGGAAGCTCACGAATAAGCGAACTCGCCCGATGGAAATGGTAGGATTTTTAGTACAAGCCCGCAAGGTCCACAACATTTCATACTTTGCTTTTTAGCGTGAGTGTCCACCCGTCACTTCAGAGGTGGACTACCTACTTCAATGGTTTCCCTCCCGAAATACTCCCTCCTGTCCCCCCACACTCAACCCTTTTCCCAACTCTATCCTCCTCCCACTTCCCAACATTTCCCTTGCCTTCCCGGGGAGGAGCAACCTTCGGGTTTATCTCCCCACTGGAGGAGGGGTTTTAATAGGTAAAAGTCAGACACTACCTCCCTTCAGGAGGTGTCTTTTGAACAAAGTTCATAAAATCAGTGACCAGAAGCTTCAAGTAGCACAACACAAAAGCAAGTGGGGTTTGAATGAGTTAAGCGATTTTTTAAAAGAGCTGCCTACAATAAACAGAGCGTACTTCTTACATGTGCACTTCTGAACACAGTACAGCCACCGATGAGAATAACACCCAAAACTTTGGAATAATTTTAATGTTAAGGATTATGTTGAAAAGTAGAAAAATGTGATTTCATAAAAATACTTTGGTGATTCCGTTTAAATTAGGGTAAAAAATTGAGAAATGATAAAACATTACTTGAAGAGTCATTTACGTTTGATCTTTATGGGCTACATCTCAAGAATATGGTCCTATTTGAATTTGTTAACTTTTTAATTTGTGCATATAGGCAGAGTATTGAAATCTGAGTATATTTAAATTGTCATATGTCAGAAATTTTACATTTTGACTCAAGTATTCGTATTGCTATTTATTAAATTATTAAAAAAAAATGTGTTAACTCAACAGTCCCTCAACAAAATGTTAAAATAAAAAAAAAAATGTAGGCAGAAGCAAAATAAGATTCACAAACAGGTAAAAATTATAAAATTTCATAATTGACCGCTATCAAAGGTATAAAATAACATGGTTAACGATCAACAAATAATCAACACACTACTGACTTATTATATTCCTATAGCGGGGAATTGTTTTCTTTTTATATCTATTTTGTGGTTGATTAGTAAATTACAATTGTTAATTCAATGCATTATACATTAAAAACTATTTTATCTTAAAAAAAATGTCTATGAACGTTGCGAATTACGGCTTTTCAATCACAACACACAAAACAATATTATATACAACTATAGGGAATATTTTTTAGTGATTATCAATTTTACGGCATCAAAAATAAATTTTGAGTTTTCAGCACATCGAATAAATAAAAAAAGAAACACCAAACAATGTAATGAATAATTTTTTATATTTAAAATAAAAAATAGGCCGTAATAAAATTTTCATTTCTATATAATACAGCTACATTTATATTTTCAGGTACCTTCCTTTATAAATAGAACCAATAAGATAAAATGAAGAAAAGAT